ATGAATTTCTATGTTCTAGGACCACTAGTGTTCATGTGCCTTTCTCATGTCAGAAAAAAACCACTATAAAAAATAATTTAACTGTTTTTAAAACCTAGATAAGTTAGGGTAATTTCATTAAGCTTGGCCTAATATTCTCCATCACCTGACAAGAGATTACAGTAATTTTGACCCATTATAGCATCTTAACAATAAGCCACAAAACCTCGACAAGGCCAACAAATTTGTTTAACTATCTTTAACAACCAAGACAAAAAAACAAAACAAAACGATAAAGGAACAGTGATCTAGAGACAAGGTCAGAGAAAGGCCAAGCTTTTGGCCGGTTATAGAGAACCCAGGCTGCAGCCACCTCAGGGCACCCCAGAAACTGCAGAAGAGGAAACGCCAGACCACTGGAGTAAGGAATGTCCTAACCCTCCAAGGCAGCTGTGCCCCCAGTGCAAACTAAAGGGCACTGGAGGAAGGATTGTCCCCATTTTGAATGGAGCAGAGACCAACATCCTCGCCACAAATAGCTCTGATTACTATTGGGCCTGAAGTTCCCAGCGGTTCCCAAGCTGTTCTCATCAGAGGGGTAGAACTGCAGGTGACCCTTGAGATGGCAGGTGAGCCTGTTAATCTCCTGATTATATCTCCTAATAAAAGCCATTTATTCTATCTTGAATGCTCACTCTGGACCTATTTATTTCTGCTAAAACATACTCGATTGTAAACATAAAAAGCCCCTAGACTTGGGCTCATTTTAATCAGCCTCTTCCTTACCATTGGCCTATGTCTTAAGAAAAAATAAAATATGCAAATCAAACTTAACTAGCACTCTGAAAACGTTTTGTCAGGAGACCTCTAAGCCCTAGCTATGATGGCCACCCATTGTTTTGGATTCTGACCTCAATTCTATTGCTTTCTATGTTATTGGGAACAAGTCCAGCTGGCACTCCAAATATAAGGGCTGGCACCTCCCACAGGCTGACTCCTCTACACATTACAGCCCCTTAAAGTCATAAACTTATGAAGTGGGGACCAAGTACTGTTAAAAGCCTAGCAGGGGAGGGGTCTCTAATGCCCTACTTAGCTCCTAATGGAAATGACCCTTTCTCATTCTCCCAAGTCTCCCAACTACTATCAGACTGCAGAGAGCAGCAGCTGGGTCCCTGGCCCTTTTGAATCAAACCTGTTTTATTAAAGTCTCCACAGGACTCCCCCAGAAGAAAGACTGTTGCTTCTGTTTCTGTGAGCCACCTGAAGACTTTAATCTCCTCTTTGAACAAGCCAGTCACTCTCCCAGGACTGATAACTACTAATAACTCACCCAGACTCCTGGAGCTGCTCCTTAGTACCTTTCTCTTAAGAGCTCCAGTTTTCCCCATTACTTACACCCCACCTGAAATCCCCTTCTCACTTAGGGATCCTAGTTATGGTCCCTTCTCTCACCTTCACTAGTTCTTCTTATCATTATCCTTGGGCTACTCCTATTTGGACCTTGCTTTATTAACCTTCTTGTCAAG